CGTATGCCTATCAGATTTCTGAAAAACATCTAGGTGTTATCATCAACAAAAAACCACGGGATTTTCATGATTTGATTTTCGAACTCTATATTCAGGAAGCTCTGTGGCACATCTTGATAACTTGGAACGGAAGATGGGTTCATGAACCAAGTGATCCAGGAATGAAGGACGCATGACGCCTAGAAGATGAGGCAAATCTTCCTCCCTAAGTGGACCTATACATTCAAGCATGAAATGGATTTGCTTATCAATGTAAGTCCGAAAAAAGCGTACCACTGAAAAAAGTCTGGTTGGTTGGCCACGCGTGATAGGTGGATGAAGACAAACAAAGGTAGTTGATTTTCAAATAACAATATATCTCGAACTAAAATTTTTTGAATTTTGTTCAATTGCAAAATGTTCGTTTTCCTTGACCATGAAGGTGTAGAATTTCTATGTAATTCCATTATAAAAATTTCATCGAGTATCATCATTTCTACAAACTCATCCTTATCAAGTTCAACAGTCCTGCATAACAATTTCTTGCCTTTTCTTCCAACTCTTCCAGGGCATTGACACATATACACCATTGACTCATTTCTTTGTTTGAAAAATCTTGTAGGCACGTAATTTGTGCCTTTCCATCATTTGTAGGTGCTTTTTATTAGGGTGATAAGGACCAATTACGAGAATTTCGGGTTCATAAGGTTCAAAGGGTACCGTGGATGATGACAAAGCAAGTTTTTCAAGGATGCGAATTGATAGTTGGGACATTTTGTTTCCCTTCGAAATCAATATTCAAAAGAGTTTGTCAAAAGAAACTATATTTCTCATGCTGCAAGACATAAATAAAATGCCGTAAAAGTGAAATAGCTCATAAAAGAGTTTGGTACAGCCAAGATTTTATTCGCTATAGGGTGCAGACTGCACCGTGCAGTAACAATTATATTTTTCTGAAGCAAAAAATTACTAAAAAGAAGGAAATTGAAAAAGTAAATAGACAAATCCTCAGATTTTATGTATCATTACATATATAATGCTTTTCTTAAATAACCTTTATAAGCAAAAAAAATTTCCTTAAAAAATTAATTACATGTTCAACTAGTATTTTGCAAATTAAAAATGCAATAAATATGCCACATATATAAATAAAGAAATTGAAAAAAATAAAAAACAAAAAAAAAATCCGCGATTTCGTTATTTAGAAATAACTAAACAAGGAAATGTGATGACATAAGTATGGTGAAATGCCAAGAATCAAATGTAAATATGTTCAAAACTCTCACACAATAATCAATTTCGTATTTCAATTTTTGAGGAGTTACGAGCAAGAGTATTTTGGGCATAAGCACAACAAAATAAATCTTTTCTTTTCGGTACGTTTAATTAGTCCTTTACTCACAAGCCATTTTGATACACAGTAATATGAATTTAGTACCAAAAAATTCTGAAATAATTTCTAGGAAAAGGACCCTATAATAACTTGGTATCATACCAAAATATCAATTTACATGTTCCGACATGTTACGATCCAATAAAAAAAATCCTTTCGATATGTGTAATTAGTCTTTTACTCAAGCGATTTTGATATACAACAATGTGAATTTAGTACCAGAAAATTCTGAAATAATTTTAAGGGAAATATGCTATAATAATTTGGTATCGTACCAAAAAATATTTGTGATGTATTACAACCCAATGATATCAATTTACAATTCAAAAATTTGGTTTCAACTCAAACAACCAAACTCGATCCTATATTATGTGTAGCTTAACTGTGTTTGGTTCGTTTCTTGGCAAAACGTAACTTCTGAGTATATTACTGAAAATTTAAGAATGCTTATAGAATCAAAGAAAATGCTTATGAAATTCTTATACAACTTATGATTTGCAAATGGGTCCTTTTGCTTCACCCGCTTCGTCTTCCGATTTGATTAATTCAATGGGAATGAAAAAAAATGTTGTTGATGGCAAAACAAGTAAAGAGGGGCCATTAATTTATAATGGGAAAGATTCATTTCCTAGAATGTAAGTAATACAAGTGGAGCCCTCACTGGAGTTTCTTTTACAAAAGTGAAAGCAAGAACAATGAATAGCCATAAGCCAACTCTGTTCCGTGGGTGTTCAAATATAGATTCTATGCCCATTTACTACAAAATTCTCTTGCACATTATCTCACTTATAGGACGGTTGTATGAGATTCAGATTCCGTTTAATACCCTTTTTCTCTTTTGGAAGATCATTTTTTAGGAATTCAAGTAATATGTATTTTTGTTAACAATTATTAACATGATCCAATAATTCGATACAACATCGATATGAAGTTAGTGGGAGTAGATTTAGCCTTACTGGGTTTAAGTTTTAGGTACCCACCAAACCCACTTAATGAATGAGTCACCGTAAACTGAGCTACACACGACAATTACTTAGCTAAACGCACGTGGTTTATACATGACATGAATCTCCCACAACACATGACTAAAACCCAACACAACTCGTCCAATTGCCTTCCCTGAATCCATTATCTTCAAGTAGGTGTCCTACCAAAACACATTACGAAACATACCTTTAAAGAAAGTAAAAGAAATGTTCTTTGTGTATTACCACCATATAATACTCATATGGGCAGCTTAGGCAATATCAAATTATGACTCAAATTTTTATTCGTATAGGATTAAAAAACTTGATTTAATACAAAAAAATTCTAAGTGGCAAACTCAGATTGCTGCTTAAATCTTCTAGAAAAATTTTCCTATTCTCCCGAGTGTCCATTTTCCTCATCCAAAGCTTTTATATCTGTTACATTTTCTATAGTTCTTACCCCCCGAAACCTCCTTTCGTTTTGATAATCACTTCACTAAATCTCTTTTGCTTACTATTTCCATAGCCGTTTTAGTCTTCTATCAAACTAATTTTGTAGCAGTATTACTATACAGAAAAGGGGTGAAATCTGATTGATAGATGCATAAAGGGTGAAATACGTCTTTTTAATTGTTTATGAAAAATATATGTAATAATAAGATTTTAGAGTGTATACCTTAGGCCCGCGATAAGGTTGTTTGATCATGACCTGAATGCTAAGGGTTTAGGTCATCGAAATAACCTTTCCACATGCAAGTAAACTTTCATACATTTGACTCTTCCCAATTGACATAGTGTCGGTAGCTTGGTGCCATGGCTCGCATTTTGTTTTTAATTTTGTAATGATAATATTCAATTTACTACTTTTCTAGTAATTATCTAATGTATTATGTAATGTCGGTTATCCACTTATAGAGTCCTCTCTAGAAAAATTAAAATTAGAGAGAAAAATTCTGAGTGGAAAGCATTTATTATCCATGCCATTACTACATCATAGTAGAAGAATAATAACTGTCACAAGCTAAGTAAGTTCCCTTCATTCCCTTACAGAAAATTAAGAGCAGGAATAATAGAGGACAAAAGCAAAGAATGTTTCCCTCGATGAGTTCTTTTCTAGAAAAATACAATAATTGTGACAAGGCAAGTATGTTCCATCGGAAAAAGTCTTTAATGACGCATCTATAATAGACTGAGTCCCACTCCTTGTAAAATTAACTGCTATTTAGCATGTATTAGAAATATACCAATGTACGTTGCATGTGAATAATTTCCGTGCACAAAAAATAATAGAACATATTAGGTATATGTGTATATGAATTAAATATCATCTAATATTTACTAAACTTAGTTTTTCATTACTCATATTCTATTTAAGATTATGAAAATTTTGTACATTTCCAAAATTCTTTGTTCTAACTATAAAAAAAAAAAAAAAATTTTAAGTTGTATTTTTTTTTTAGAATTTTATGACTCTAATCACATTGAAACCTTATTGTAACTAGGAATTAGTTATTAATTGAAATAAGATTTAATATACTACACAATAATATATATTATCAAGCAAATTAAAATTCTGAAAAATTCAAGTTTTACTTAAAAATATACTACAATATCTATGTTTACATAAAATCTTAGTATAACTTAAAAAGTTTATTGTGATTGAAAAATTATATTAATATAACATAAATTGATTTTAAAAAACTATACATACGATTATTTTTAATCTTAGAAATGAAATTGTTAAACTTTTCAATGAAAAGGAAAATGCACATATGGAAGCATAATGTTATCATTGCATATGAGATCAATAATATTAAATTGATGGAGTTTTTGAAAGTTTTTTGAACACTTTATTGAAAATATAATAGTGCATATTTTTTTAAGGGTAATATAATCAATCAAAAAGTTTTATAGACTTACTAATTGTTATATATAGAGAATAGATAATTAAAAGAGATGTTATAGATAATTTAGAAATTTAAATATATAAAGATATGATAGTAATTTAGATGTTTATTTGTAAAAGGATAAAATGATTTTTGCAATCGTTTATAAAGGATAAAATAGAGATTCAAAAGTTTTTCATTTCAATGTACTTTTATTAACTACATGGATCTCACTCCTAGGATATGATCAAGAGCGTTTACCTTGCTCAAGTCTTGTGGCAATGTCATATATAGCTGACTTGAACATTGGAAAGTTTAAGAACCGGTACCACATTGCTGTCTCTAACCTCTCTGTGTTCTTCTTGATCTATTGTATGTGCAATCATAATAAGTAACACAATTCTCAATAAAATGAGCTATTTGTCTGCATTAACACGTATCAAACTTCAAACTAGATTGTCAAGAGAAAAGTAAAAGAATGTACGTTAAGAAAAAAAAATTATCGTGAGATGTTAAAATTGAGTATCTGTCAATTTCATAGAAAGCGAAAATATTCCCAGAACAATGATTTGCTCTTTAGTGGAAACAAAATTGCTGCTGAAATTAAACTAGCAGTATAAGAAATTAATCGAATAGAGCACTTCTACATTACAATTTTTTTTTATATATAAAATTACAAATTCTTAAAACATTCACTTGACTGATGAATCAGTACAACTTATTTATACATGACATTTAGCTTTTATTAAGCATACAAACATGAAGATGTGGGATTCACTTAGCATGAGGAAGAATAGAAAATACAGTCTGTGTTAAAGTGAGAAAAAGCAATAGAAAAGCAGCAAGAAATGATATGATTGCCCATGGAGTGTTGAAATAATTCCTCCTCAGATTTGCCATCCATACATTCCGACGATGCCGGCAGTGCACGTTCACATCATTGAAAACTTGGGAGTAACAGAATTTATTCGATGACACAGCATTCTTTGCCAGCCTTGTCAACATGGCATGATCTGCGTCATCGTTGCCTAAAACATCATTAATAATTTCGCAGTGACGAAGCAACTCAACATCCTTTGAGGAATTGATGAGACAATGCATAACAATGATATAATCAGTTACGTATTTGGGAGTGCTTGCTGGATGATACTGCTCGTATGCAATTAGATTTGCAAAGAGAGATTCTGTCGAATCATCCAAAAATAAAGGTGGGATTTCCAGCACCCCTTTGGTGAAGCTAATATCCAATAAACTCGTAGTACTTTCCTTGGCCTTCTTTATCTGAATTCCGGCTTCCTGGAGCACCGTGGTACAATTTATGAAACCATTGAAACCACCAACATTTCTAAGTGGCACCATTTCAGCAAACGAAGAACTCATACAATAATGTGCCAGACCAAGTAGATGCTTAATATCTTCGATTCGGATCGAATCCAAAGCACTATGCCGTATATTTGCACCAGAAAAACATAAGGCTATTAAAGACTGGGCTAAATAAACGACATATTTTGGTTCGTGGCCAATCATGCCGGCTAAGTGAATTAGGATAAAGAATGGAAGTTGATTTTCAAATAACAATAAATCATGTCGTAGGCCATACCGAATGTGATCAAATTCGAAGACAGAGTCACCCACCTCTCCTAGTAAGTAAAAATCCCTGTAACTCAGAAGAAACTCGAGGAGAAAGCAGCCATCAAGAAGCATCATTTCCACAAAATCATCTTCACTAAGGTTGATTGATTCTGCATAATATTTGCGTGCTTTTTCTTCCAATTCTCTCATGGCTATGATGCATCTGTGGACACTGGACGCTCCCGCTTTTCTAAGAATCTGTTGCACATACCGTAATTTCTGTTCTTCCGTCTCCTGCAAGTTGGGGTTTCCACGGTGATAAGGACCAATAGCAATTATATCGGGTTCATAAACCTTCATAGTTGTCTTGCGGAGAGGATTATGCACTCTGAATAGGTTACGCTCACAGGGTATTGGAGATAAGCGAGTTAGCTTTTGGTCTATAATTATAGAGAGATGATCAGCACTTGGGTCGGACATGATTTACTCCTTGAATCCAAAGGTAAGTTCCCTGTAACAAACATGTTTTGATGAATGTATGAGAAGATTGTTGATTTTCTAAAGCCTAAAATCAAATGTTATTACCACACCATGACACAATTTGATAAATATTTTCCGTCGAACAACTACTCGGTGTGGGAAAACTACAAAGTTAATTGCTATTAGTTTTGGACATGGAGCACAGACACAGGATATGGCTGGGTCAAGAAGTTCGACCCCTGCAAATAAAAGAACCTAACTTTTCAAGAATAAAAAATGGAAATTGATTTTCCAATAGTAATAAATCACGACATATGACTGTTAGAATTCTTGAAGATTGAACAAGCGCATTCCACTTGTGAAATAATTCAATGCCTCCCCCAAAACCTGGTCATGAAGCACCATTTTCACAAACTCTTTGTTGAGGCTACTAGATTCTACATAACATTTTCTTGCCCTCTCTTCCATGCACTCAGGGCCATAACCTATTTATCCACACTCTTCTCATTTCTCCGTTGAAGCAATAGTTGCACGTACAGCATTTTGTGCTCTTCCATCTCTTGCAAGTTGTCTTTACCATGGTGAAAAGGATCAATCGTAATTATTTTTGGTTCATAGGCTTTCTCATTTTCAATGCGTAGTTTGTTGTACACTTTGAAAATGCAAGGCTTTGATGGTGTAGGAGGTAAGCAAGCAAGCTCATGGCCTGCAGAAGTAGAGTCCGTCTTTGTGTGGCCTACATGCCAAAGAATATGCTAAATGCTAAGTTGAATGGCCATACCTAAGATCCAATGTGAGGAAGCCAATGGTGGTAATTTATCATGTATATGTCTAGCTAAGTGTAGGCTTGTGAAAACTAATCAAAACTGCTTTCATCGAAGGCATAAAATGGACTTCTAATTACCAGAAGGTAATTTTTTATTTTATTTTTGCATTTTTTAGCATTTCCACAAAGAAGATCTCGTAAAATTAAAATTTTTTTAGTCAAGAAATATACAAAACTACAAACTTCTTGAGAAAAAACAACAAAAACTTGCAATAAAGTGATCTGCATAGCTTTATAACACTAATGGCAGGTTTATCATAAGTGATCTCCACATGCAAATAGAGAAAGAAATAGTAGGGTAAAAAATAAAAAACCCTCTTAACTAAGTCTCGACCTTACTTCTCCCCCTATATTTTTATAAGTTACATTTAACTTCCTCCAACTTGTGAACAAACTACAAATTTAACAGAATCTGTTTATTATAATGGCGCAATAATTGCATGAGCTAATTAAGTGTGTGTTATAAAATAAATAATTTTTTTCCTAAATTAAAAAATTAAATTACCAATTTTACCCTTCATCTTTCTCTCTCTCTCATTTTTTTCTCTCTCTAGACCTGCAAATTCATTTTTGACTCATCAAACGACTTGCTTTCTCAAAATTAAGGTCATTTTTTAACTCATTGACCCCAAATTTGCTAGACTCAACCCCACTTTTGAAGTTTAAACAAGTTTTTCAAAGTTTTCATTTTCAAGTTTTCAAACCCTAGTGAGTTTCTTCACCACACAATGCGGCCATGGCTTCTAACCACTCCAATACCCTGTACTACAACCCCATAACACAACTCAAGCTTCAATTGAGGAAGAAATAGTCGTTTGCTATGTAACTCATTTGAAAATCTATACCACTTTAAGCTTAAAACACAAATTCGAGCACACACACAATATGAAACTTAAATCTAATCACACCAATAAAATCCTCATGAAAAAATAAGTCTGACCAGGTTGAGTTTATGTATTATAAGTCTTTGAATCAAAAACCTAAAATTCTCTCTCTCTTTCTCTCTCCCCTTCGTTTTGGCCTTCTTCACAACTTGCAGAGGAATTTGTGAGGTGTAGAGATAACAGAGTTGGAGGTGGGTTGTGGTGATGGGGAGCAACGATAGTGATAGAAGTGTGCTAGTTGCAGCTTTTGTTTTTTCAAAGATAAGGGTTCTACAATGACACATCACAACGAAAATTGTATTACAATCAAGGGGTAGTTTAACCTTTTTGTATAAATTGTTATCTCTATTAATATTTATAGTTTGTTCACAAATTAAAGAGAGTTAAGTGTAACCCGTAAAAGTATAATGGGTAAATTGAGACCGATGATTAGTTGAGGGAGATTTTTTGTTTTTTAGCTGAAATAATAATCTTGTACATATAATTAATTTATAGGATTGGGTTTGGATTTTGAAGAACTTACCATGACATGCTTTTTCAGTCCTCTAAGGGAGATATAATGTGAAAAATGGTCTCAAGAAAGAAGAAGAAAAAGCAGCTCATGATAGCAAGGAGCTAGAAAGTGATTAAATCCTAGACATGAGATGTCGTAATTACATGGTTTCACACTGCAGCGGAGTAGCATTCTGGCGAAGGAATTCTCTGTCATTTTCTTTGTATTATTCAAGCTATATTACACTTTGACCCCTTCTACTATAATATTAATCTCACTTTACTTTTGAACAATTAAATTTTTCACATTCTCTTCTATTACTTGAATTGGTTTTAGATTACTTAAAAAGCAAAAGTTTGTTATCTTTTAGATGGTTTAAATTCACATATCGGGGCAAGTTCAAACATAATCATTTAATTCGGAAGGGAGGGCAAAATGAGATGTCTTTCCCTCAAAATTTCAACGGGCATTAATTATTGGGAAAATACTTCAAGGTGGTAGATGAAAAATATGATAATTTAGGGGGTAATGTAAGACATAGGCCATAGTTCAAAGTGTTAAAATATATTTTTCCCTACTACTCGTAATGCCGTTGAAGTGCGTTCCGATTAATGTCTCCTCGGCCTTTTTATATGGATAATTTTATGTTCATCAAATTTGTGCACCAAAAGTGTGCACTAAATTATTGTCAAACATTGGATGATAGTGAGTCCATTGATCCAACGGGTGACAATATTTGGTGTACAAATTTGGTATGCATAACATTGCTCTTTTTATATATCCACTACAACAATTATGGACTTTAGTGACAAATTTTTTAGCGACCAAGTTATTTTTATCATTAATAATACCTTTTTAGTGATAACATGTGAAGTTGTCACTAATGATCTAGGATGAGTGACGACAACATTATTTGTTACAAAAGAGTAATGCTAGACAAACTTAAAATTTAGACTTAAAATATAGACTTGTTGATATGGTTGTTATGTGTACCAGCCGTGTCATCAGTTTCAAAAAAAAATCTATGTTTGAAAGAAAGATCAGATGACTTGGCCGATTATCTCCCCTCGTCTTCTCTCTTCCCTTTCACGGTTTCACCAAACCAAACACCGTCGGCCAGCCATAGAATTTCTTTATCAACTCCTCCCTACCCTTTCCCTACGCCAAAACTTGCCCACTCAGAAACCAGTCTAATTAAGTTTTCACAGGGAACTATGATAGGAAAGTCACAAAAGGACATCAAAGATCTCCCCCAAGAGCCTTATTGTTGCAGCTAGGGTTCCACCCTATGGTATTTCGAAAAACCCTTGAAGACCTCACCCAAGAACCACAAAAATCAGTTTGGCTTCGGATGTAGTGAAACAATCGGCTGTTCAATTTCTTGTTAAACAAAATGGTCTTCAGCATAGGGGCGAAACAATCGGTTGTTGTCATCAACCAGTTCGGCTTCGGATGTGGCTATGGAGAAAATCCAATTTATTGGGTTCAATTTTTTTTAAACAGAAAAGGCGTAGGGAGGAGCTGATAAAGAAATTCTATGACTGGCCGGCGGTGTTTGGTTTAGTGAAAGGGAAGTGGGAAGATGATCGGCCAAGTCATCTGATCTTTCTTTAAAAACATATTTTTTTTTTTAAACTAATGACATGGCTGGTACATATCAACAGTCACATCATCAAGTATATATTTTAAGTTTAAATTTTAAATCTGTCTAGCATTACTCGTCTCAAAAAGTTAACTTTTAGTGATGAATAATTGTTTGTTGTTGTAACTTCATCACTAAAAGTGTGAGAAACTGGATAAATAGTGATGAATTTTATTATTGTCACTCAAAATGATAAACAATTACTTTTATTAATGAGATTAGTCGCCTCTTAAAGTTTCAAGGTTTTGGTGATAACTTTAACGTTGTTACTAAAACACTAATGGCTTTAGTGGTAACTTTAATGTCATCACTAGAACTTTCATAGTTTTAGTGACAACATTGGTGTTGTTATTAAAATATTTATACTTTTAGTGATGATTGTCAAGTCGTCACTAAAACGTCTATATTTTTAGTAACTAAATTAATTCTATCACTAAAAATAATTTAATTTATGTCACTACATTGGTGTTGTCAAGTGGCTTATTTTATGTTGTTTGGCAAATTTCAAATTATACCACATCACCTCCTAACCTGCAAAAATAAAAAACAAAATGCTCCTGTTATTTCTAGACTAAACTACACCTTAATTAAGTTTGTTAACAAAATTCTGAAATATCCTTAATACATAAAAATAGTAAAACCATAAATTTATTTAATTTAAATATCAATACTCATACCACAACCTAGCTAGTATAGTGGTTGTAAGGCAAGTTGAAGTCAACTCGAGTTAAATCAAAAATTTTAAAACTCTCAAATTGAGCTTAATTCAAAATTTTCAATGTCAATCATGGTTAATTTTTAAAATTGGATGATATGCAAGTAGTGGTGAAATTTGAATCAAAATCGACTTCAATTGAGGATTATTTTTGAGGTAGATAACATGGATAGAAATTCATGTTGAAATCCAATTTAATTTAAGTTTGAATCTCAAGTTACTCAACTAGAGCGTAAATTTGATTTCAATTGGATTGGATCCTAAAAAGTAGAGACATAAATTGAGTATTGTTTGATTTTAAATTGGGTTGATAATTTTTTATCCAAACTTTGATCAATATTGATTTTTTTTTTTGGGTTGGCCTGCGTTGGATTTTAAATTTGACCCATCAAATTTCACTTTTACACCAAGTTTCACCTTTCATGAACCATCACCAAATC